TAAACAATATGGAGCCATCTATATCCAAGCTCCTTTGCCACGTGCAGAGAAATCAAATTTTGCTGACAGAACTTAAAACTCTAAAAAAGAGGCATCTGATGATTGGAGATGCAATGCAAATGCTGAATATAATTTTCAGTCTGCAACTGCTTGCTACTGTAGTTCTGAGTTTTTTAATTATCACCTTTGAGTTGTACTTCTTTGCAGTGCGCTGGCAAGATGGGATATTCATTATTGATTTGAATAGAAACTTTCTTGACATGCTTAGTGTAACCATTATAAATAACGTTTTGAAAATAATGCTACTTGTGTGGGCCTGCGAGACGGGTAAAAATCAGGCCAAAGGGATTCATACAACCATTCACGATTTACTGAACAGTACCAATGATGATAAGATAAAATACGAGGTAAGTTTTTATAATTGCACCAATATTTCTAAGAATATATTGTACGTTAATGCAATTTTTTTAAATATTTTTAATATTCAATTTACTAAAATATAATTGTGTTATTAGTTTTATTTTTTTAGTTCTGCATTTAGTTATTTTGCGATCTGACGTTGCAGTTGCAGCTGTTTTCTTTACAAATGCTACATCGGGAAAATATCTTTGCGGCAAAAGGTCTTAATATTGATGCAACACTCCTTACAACGGTAAATAATCAATTATTTATTTTAAATATTAAAATATCTATAATATACGTTTTTATTTTACTTTTAGATAGTGAATAATATTACCACATACCTAATAATCTTGATACAATTTTCAAACATGTCGCGATCTTGCGACAGAAAAGCAGAAATCAATATTAAGTAATAATTAAAACATGTTTGTATAAAAATTGTTAGATACTGTAAATACCACTTTTTGACATTGCTAATAATATATTATATAATCATGCGACGTTTTATATTTATATAAAGATGCTGTTAGGTACATAAGTGACAAAGTCTTTTAAGACTTGTATGTATATCCATACTTGTTAGTAATCATATTTATTGTATATCAGTATTTTATTTATTTGAATGTATCATTGGAGATATAATAAATATACTGCTAAAAAAAATTATAGCATAGAAAAACTTTGGGCAAAATTTGCATTGACAATCTTTGATGATATCTCCGCCAAAAATCATCGTAGGATGAAGAATTTTTTTTCAATTAAAGCTTGAAATCTCTGCTTTAAAGTACTATGGATCGATTTTAAATGTAATGCACCTCTGATACTATAAACTTCTAAATCTGAGAGCATGTTTGCCATACTGAAAATTGAGAAATTTGACGGAATGCGCGGACTTGCTAAAATTTTTCTCGGGGATGCCAGCATCAAAAAGCTCGAACTTTTCTCTTTAATTAAAAAAAATGCAAGTTGCTATGATTTTTTTCACAAAATTACATTATTTTAAAGTAACCCTTACACTTCTCAACAAAATTAAAGCATCACTTACTCTACTCTCCAAAAATAGGCAAAATTCAAGAGAGTGTAACTTCGTCAAAAATGATCGTATCGAGATGTTAAAAAAATCATTTTATAGCTTGAAATCTCTA